TACTTGAAACTAGTTGGGCTTTTCTGCGTAATTTTACGCTAGTAAACTGTTATTGTCAATTAATTTGTGGATTGATTTGTTTGTCGATTGCCGAGTAAGAGGTTTCAGGTTGATTCGTTTGGGCAATGGTATTTAGAGATTATATAGAGATACGAAAATATGGCCGTTGTTTGGTAATAGGTATGCCATCAATTACATGGGAGTCATCTAAAAACATAACTATCAAAATAGCCGAGCAACTGGGGGTGATTCGACATCGATTCATCATTCGACTCGTGTCGAGTATTTTAAACTTTTTGATTGGGTATCTATTGGTCCACCTTCTATTACACCTCATCAACAGCCCATAGGTGGCCACTGCTAACCAAAGGCAATAATCACTACGCTTGCTCAATGCGGGTCAAACTTATAATTAGAAATTATAAGCCCAGCTTTCTACCAGCCAGTTTCCTGCACCGTTTGTCAGTGGTGTCTAAATAATATAATCTTAGAAGTAACATACTCGAAAATGTGACATTTATACTTTGCCGTTGGTAGGTTTCGAAACGGCGCCCTCATGCTAAGCGCCTGTACAAAATGTTACGTTTTATACTTTCTAGGTGTGTTTGCTAACCTAGATAAGTCGAAAATAACCTTGGCACTGATAAAGAACAAATAAGTAATTAACAAGATACCTACACGAGGTAGCAACTTAGCTAGCGGCATCAACTCGACCGCCACTCCGCAATATCTAATCAAAGTTTATTTGTATCTGCCCCAGATCCAGAGATTCTCCGTACCTACTACTTACAAATACTTATTTAGCATGCCAAAGATGTTCTCACTTCTCATCCTGTTGTTTTTGTTGTTGTAGTCTGAGTGGGAAGTTTATTAATCTTAGCATTTGACCTTAAATTTTACCTTGTTGAAAGTCTCAGTGGTTGAAGGATTGCCTAATTAATTTTATTGTGATTGCTAGTGACAAAGTTAGTGGTAGGTATTGGTACAATTATAAAATGAAATAACGCTAGAAAGTGGCAAGTAAGTAAGGGACTAAGTTTATTTAAATTGTCTAAGAAAAATTACATAGACAAGGAATATTGTTTATGACATTCCTAACCCGCTTACACATCTTACCTTCCAACAGAAGGCAGCGTATGTATATGCACATGTAATAATTATTTTAATGCAGTACGACAAAATGATATGCTTATATTATTTAAATTCTCGTGTTAAGGTACTGTTATACAAGGTAATTTCAAGCACAGCGCACATGTGTTAATTATTTTGATGCATTACAACAAATTATATGCTTTTGTTATCTAAATTCGTGTGTACTGTACTGTTACACAAGTTAATTTCTAGCAAGAAAGCATGCTTCAATTGACCATGTAGCATGTGTGTCTGAATGTTGCTCAAAATAAGCATGCTCATTTCGGGCATGCTTGTGAATCGACAGGCGTTCGATTTTTTGAATAATTATGAGCATGCTTCATAGAACACCTTTTAGCATACTAACTATATTAGAACATGTGTAATAGTATAAACGTTGAGTTGATAATTCCGAAAAAAATAGTGCTTTTATTTGAGTAAATTCTCAGACTAATGTTTAAGTATTTCACTTCCTGACCTATACGTAAAGGTAAACTTTTTTCTTAATATAAAAGTAATGGCTGCATCTAGAGAAGTTACTGTAACAAAATTTCGTACAAACAATCCTATGACTAATTCATAGGCCATTTTCCGTTGCATTACAAATGTAGCAAGCGTTCTAGTTAATTTCAAACGTGACGCACTAACGTGTAATGATTTGACCAATTAGCGCTTTCGAAGTGCATTGCTGCAGCGCTAAATGTAGAGTGTTTCGCCAATCAGAAGTACGTGCGTTACGTGTTGGGTCATAAAATGATCTTTGGTGTGTGAAACGTGGTGTAATTTTGTTGTGTACGTGTGTGGTGTAAGATTGGGTAGTATTATGTATATTAGATGAGTCTTACTGTACACTACTTTATTGTGAATATTTATATAAGGTCTAACAAAAATAGTGCACAATATTTTAACAGGTGATATAGTATAAGGATTATGTTTACCTAAAAAAAATGTAAACAACAACATGTTTAATTAAATTTAGCATCACATTTGCAAAATTGTTGTTGTGTTTTTATGCATAACACCAACCGTATGGATGCGCGCGGACGTTTATCTTACGGGTCAACGACCGAGCTTTTCGAATAGGTACATAGGAATAGATACATATTGCAGGATGGCATAAAAAGCAAAGAAAATAATAAATGAATAATTGAATTATTAATTCGACGGAGAAAAATTCGCTGATTCCGAATATATATATAACTCAAAATCGCCCAAAATGTCGCTTAAACCAAATAGTCCGTTACCCCTCGATATGTATATTTATTCGAAGAATCTCATCTCTATTCCACGAATTTCATTGCAATCCAGTTTTGACGGTTATATTGAAATAAAATATAAACATAAGTCGCTATATTTCGCCACAATATTGCATTTCGTTGGAGCTTGGCGCCGTGTCGCGCGTGCAATTTCTCTATTCATACCTACCAACTTCGAAGTTTGCTTCAATATTATATTCACACATGCGCCTCGCAGTGTAATGGAAGTTTTGTTCAAATTTTCGTTTGGATTTCGAATTGGTGGAGTAAATTGGAATGGGGTGACTAGTATGCTGTTTTTTGAAGGTGTCGTAGAAATAAACTAACATTAGCACATTAAAATTTTATCTTAATACCGAATTATGTAAAAATAATGTGGCTCGCTGGATGCACGTCGCTTCCAACCGGCCTATCTGGAACTCATTGGGGGAGGCCTATGTTCAGCAGTGGATGTCCTGTGGCTGATATGATGATGATGATGATGAATGTGGTATCGAATCGCCCTTACCAACTAGTGTTCTGTGACAGTTCACCAGTTAAATACAATTACTCCTATTGCTTGACTCGGATTTGGAGCTAAGGTCACTTTGTTCGTTTTACGATAATGTATATATATCTAGAAACAGTTATTACAACTCATGTCGATACGATTGATTGTGTAAACATAAGTCTACTAAGATCTGGCGACGAGCTTTCCGCACCCACCTCAAAGTGCTATCAGACCACCACGGATAGAGCTTATTAGGACTGATGCTGATACGGAACCGCGGAGAACATAAACGGTTACCAGAGCTCCAGCTCGAAGTGCTGTCAGGAAAGGGGTGGTTTTTAGTCAGTAAGAGTCTGACACTCCCTCTCGCCTCACCCAGGCGGGAGAAGTGTTATGAGATGATTTTACTTGTTACCCCTTAAAAAAGAGTTATGTAAAAAAAAACAATCCATTTTGCACCAACAAAAATCCATTTAATCTAACTTTTAATTTGTCCCGGTCCATGACAGCGTTATCTGTATTTTCGGTTGAATATTTTTCACAGATTAGTCATAGTTTGTCATTCACCGGGTAGAAAGGGGATTACATTTTGTTATCGCTTTTAGAACATTTTTTAATTAAGCGAAAACATGGTTTGTATTTGAAAGCATTGTTTTTTGCTGGGAATCCATGTTTATTTCTGAATATATACGTACAATTTATCATGTTAAACTACTTTGAAACTCAATCAATATTGTTTACGAATATATTTTTCTAGTTAATTAGGAAACTTTAAAATAATATTATCTTACTTTAGAACGGAACTTAAGATATCATACTTACTAGATGTTTAAATATTCCTGGAGCTGCGAACAACCTAAGGGATTATTGAGGCTTCGGCTCAGGAGTTTGACACGCTATCACGCTACCCAAGGTCGGAGGAGACATTGGATAATTTTACCCTATCTAAAGAAAAAATATGTTTAATCATAAGAAGTAACAACTAAAAGGCATCTTCTTGTGTTCAAGTTGTTTCAAAAAAGATTATTTAATTTCCTAGTTCAATGTGATATCTAACTTGAAATAACATGGATTGTCTCTTTCCTAGTAACTAAAATATTCCACGTGTTTAGTTCTAGTATAAATTGACATAACCTAAAATAACAGCAAACCTACAATTTACTTGTTATATCTATTTCCACTTACAATATCAATATTTTACTTTTCTAGTCATAATTTAGTTCTGAAAATTTCTAATTCTGACCTTTGGAGGATAAAGTTTCCGTTTGATTGGACGTAGATAAACACAATGGATTTGTTCGACAAAGTCTACATGACAATTTCATAGAATAGGGCCTACCGTATTTTTGCTCTCCAGATGACGCTAGTCTGAACCTCGTTCTTCGTCCAATAGGGAATTAGCTAGTGTCATGCCATTGCACGGTCTATATTTGACAACTGCTATGATTGGACAAAAGAACTCTTCGTTACATAATCATCTGTTGTGTGGCACCGTGTGTCTTAAAACTTCGACCAGTCCGGGTAACTGGCCGTCGAAACAAAACCAGACCTGAGCGTGCGGTGTGTCGTGTTCTGCGCGCGCCTCAAGGAGACATCAGACCGCCACAAATGGGGCTCAATAAGGCTGATGGCGATACGGAGCTGCGGAGGACAGGTTGCTGGGGCTCCGGTTTGAAGTGCAGGCGTAGGAACAGGTTGGTTTTTAGTCAGTATGTGTTTGACACTCCCTCTCATCTCACCCGGGTGGAGTCATTAGTTGATTTTGCCTCTTCCAAAAAAGAGGCTTTGAAACAGTCCTAAGGTTACCGTTCCCAGTGAATATTATGACAATACTCTACTAAAGAATGATGCATAAATTTAGGTAACAAGATTTGCGTTGTACAATTATTGTTTGACACTTTATGTATCTCTTTACCATTCACGGGACCACAGGGTCCCGGTCATTTGGGAGGCTTACGAGGGACCGAAGCCAACTGCGCTGAGGCCATTTAGACAACTTTAATCTAAATGTAATGGACACACAAACCGGCGACTGTCCCTGTATGAACTATGGAAATGCACCCAAAAACAGTCCCCGGTTAGTGTAGAACTATTGTGGATAATAGAAGAAAAAAGGTAGGGCTATGGATGCTGTGGACCGGTAAATTGGAAACTATGGATGACTATGGCACCTGCCGAAACAATGTAATTATTACACGTAAAAATGGCAGGCGGAGACTCGCCAACTCACCGACCGGGCCTCGGGAATGGTTGCTAGATATAGCAACAGAGGGGCAACGAGAATGTGAGTGGCTGAAGGGTTAAGAAACCACCACCGCTTTCTACTCAGATCATCTGCATGGCATATGGGAAGCCGGTGTCAAATCGGCGAAGTATTTTATAAAGCGCGTTATTGGCGACAGCCACTTCACTTTCGAAGAAATTTCAACTTTATTTGCACAGGTGGAGGCTGTTCTCAACAGCCGCCCCTTGTGCCCTCTCTCCTCCAATCCCAACGACCTCCTTCCTCTCTCCCCAGGGCACTTCATCATTGGGAGACCGTTGACTGCTCTGCCAACATCTAAACTGGAGGATGTGAGAGAAAGCCAGCTGCGACGCTACGAGCGTCTCGAAAGGACACACCAGCATTTTTGGAAAAGATGGCAGCGGGAATATCTATCAGAATTGCAACAGAGGACGAAATGGAAGGCAGACAAGTCAAGGTTGGACATTGGAGATATGGTACTCTTGGCAGATGACCATGCGCCCCCGCTCGCTTGGAAACTCGGTCGAGTTACTCGTCTCATATCTGGACCTGATGGAATTTCCCGAGTAGCAGACGTTCTCACCAATAGGGGCATCGTGCGACGCTCGCTGGTACGGCTCTGCAGGCTACCCACCGCGGAGGAACTCAAGAATTATTGAAAGTATACTTTCAAATTTTGTAATAAACGTATATTTGGAATTAACGGACTTTAATTGGCACCATTATATCCTCGAAAGATACAACAAGTTCTACACAAAGAATATCATAAATAAACACATACATAATAACATTTGCATTCGTGTTGTAGTTTTTCTTTGTTTTATTAATTTAATGCATACTTATCGAGCCCATACGGAGTGTAATTTCAGTTGCTTTTATTGCTAAAAATCTCCAAAGAACCAATAGTACTAGTACCAACAAACCCAATAGTACTTTGTTCGACCCAGGAACCAATTCCAAGACCCTTTGCACGGCAGTGGTACTTGAGGCCATTCTATCGACGAAGCATACTATAAATAATCTACAAAAAAGCACAAACAAAATATACCGTCAAAAACCTACAAACAAACTATAAAGTTTAAAAATTCAATGCTTTTTCTAGATTAAATATGGCTGACAAGTTTTCCACCAAGTTTTGAAAAGTTGCAACACATCAGTCGCCTGTCAAAATGTAGCGCGGGAACGAAGTACTGGCTTATGACGTCACCCGCTTATGTCATGCTATTCCTGTATGCATGGCCTTACTATAAAATATTCTCTGTGTAAATAAAAACCAACGTTGTTTGAATATTTTTTTGTACTTGTTTTTTGAAATGATTGTGCATTGATCGGATTTTGATGATATTTCACCATGGTATTCTAATGCAGTTTAAAGAGCCTTTATTTCTTTGAGAAAATTCCTGTATACATGACTTTACTATAAAATAACATAATATAACATCACGCCTTTTTATCCCCGAAGGGGTAGGCAGAGATGCACATTGCGGCACTTAATGCCACTGTACAATGTAACACCCACTTTTCACTATTTATGTTATGAGTCCCATGTAATAGGGGGTAAGCCTATTGCCATATATCGGGCACGTTTCCAGACTCCGTGCTACTACTGAGATTTTTAAAAACCCAGTAATACTTTGCCTGATCTGGGAATCGAATCCGAGACCCCTTGCCCGGCAATCGCACTTGCGATCACTCGGCCAATGAGGCAGTCGTATACTATAAAATATTCTCTGTGTAAATAAAAATCAGAGTTTGTTGATATTTTAGAATGGTATATTTGCATGTCATCGTTTTTGGGTCAAAGAGCTTTTATTTCTACAATAAGAAGCATCCATGTTAAGCAGTGCGTTAATCATTATTACTATTATGAATGATTGTGGCGGTAAATGTATGGATGTTTGTTACTCTTTCACGTATTTTTTTTAAGGGGGGATTATCATCGAATGACTGCTCCCGCCTGGGTGAGGCGCGAGAGAGTGTCAGACTCTTACTGACTAAAAACCACCCCGTTCCTTCTCCTGCACGTCGAGCCGGAGCCCCGGTGACCCGTTAGGTTCTTCGTGACACTATTTCACGTATAAAGCACTGAATACGGATATGAATGAATGATGAATGTGATACACACATAATTATCTACCGCCTTAGGTGAGGCGCGAGAGAGTGTCAGACTCTTACTGACTAAAAACCACCCCGTTCCTTCTCCTGCACGTCGAGCCGGAGCCCCGGTGACCCGTTAGGTTCTTCGTGACACTATTTCACGTATAAAGCACTGAATACGGATATGAATGAATGATGAATGTGATACACACATAATTTTAAAGTCTGGAATAACACAAACCACTTTTTATTCCGGCAACGCAAGCGAAATCCCTCGCAGAAGCTAGTATTTTATGAGATTTTAAGCTTTATTAGTTTTATAGAATAAAGAGTGGGTGCGGCGTGAAGTGGGGTTATTTTAAAGCGTACTTACCGGGAGATTTCTCAACACGGACCAAACGTCTTTGTTTATTGAGGGCTTTTCAAAAATTAATTAATTTTTCGCTACTTATCGTGGTTGGTCTACTTAATTACAGGCTGCTTTATTGTGAAGATGATTGTGCTGTGGTAAAATTAATACGTACCTAGCACTCCACTGGTGGATATTATGTGTATAGCTGTTTTACTGACTATAAAAGAGGTATTGGATGATAAGAATATGAAAAATTTTCTTCATATTTTTAATCTTAATTTTAATATCCTTGGTGTTTATCATTGTTTTAATATTTCATAGTTATTTTAATCTATTTATATCTATTGTTGTAAAAAATTAATTAAATTGACAATATAAAAAAAAAATAACAATGATTGATAGTGCGGTGTTATAATGTAATAAATAAAATAAAATAAATTAAATTAAATTAATTAAGAATTATATATATATTTCATAATATTAAACTGTAAATGTATGGACCCAGTATGTCTGAAATAAATTTATTTTATTTTATTTTATTATTTATTATTATACTAGAGGTATATGCTTATGCTGACACATAATTTTTAACATGATCGTTAAGAAATAAAACTAACAATCAAAACACACAGTCGAACGAATAATGACGCAACACTATGCACGGCAACCCTCCCCTGTATCCTAAATATATAATAATTAATACATTTGTAACACAAATACGCTTCATTTGCGTGTCACAACACATTGAGCTTTAATGACGGTAGACATGGCACACATTACATTAACTTTTGACAATCAACCCAGATTTGTTCGCCGCTTTTAGTTGGTTAAGCCCTCAGCGTTTTAGGGTTGGGTACAGGAAAATTTATTTAAGATTAATTGGTAGGTAAGGTAGGGTCGATGAGGAGAATAAAAGTATTAAGGTTAGTTTGAAAAACAAAAATGTTTTAGTATGGAGTTGTTTGTTGGTGGTGGGGTTGTGATCGGTTACTGCTTTAGTATTGTTTAACATCTCGTTGTTAGATTGCATTGGATCAAGGATAGGAATGAAAGTGTTTATGGCGACGTTAATCTAAGATTATGGTCTGACCACGGATATGAGAACCTTTTAAGGCTCTTGTATATAATATCTAGTTAATGCAACATCACCTTAACTAGGTGCTATTATCCCTTTATTTATCAGAATTATATTATATCAGAATCTTACTGACCAAAAATCATCCCGTACCTACTCCTAAACTTCGAGCCGCTGCTCCGACAACCCGTTTGACTGCACGGTTGGTGCGGTGGCTGGGCAACCGGCTGCCGTGCAACGTGTCGCGGGTTCGATTCCCGCACGGAACAACACTTTGTGTGATCCACAAATTGTTGTTCCGGGTTTGGGTGTCATTTTGTATGTGAACTTGTATGTTTGTAAACGCACCCACGACACAGGAGAAAATCTTAATGTGAGGCAACGTTTAAAAAAAAAACCGTTAAGTCCTCCGCGGCTCCGTACCGGGCATCAGCCCTATTGGGCCCCATCAGTGGTGGTCTGATGGCGAGGCGCACGCCGAACGCCACGCGCCTTAAGCTAGGTTCTACAGTAGATACTAACTTAAGAAAGTGCTATGACAATGAAAACCAACATTTCACAGTAACCGTTTCCTTCATTTCACTCCAAATTCATCACACATAAAATATGAATTTAATGATAGTGATATTTATATGAATTTTAATATTATAACCATAAAATATAAACGTACCTACTTTCTATAACCCAAGTAATAAAAGTAATAAAAGCATTTTTCTAAGAGACTTCAAAGAAAAGGAGTTTAATATCTTGTTAGAAGAGGTCCATTCTATTTTCTCCTTAAAACGTACACTAAACACACAAATTTATAGTGACTAAACTAAACTATTGAAAAATGTATTCCACATAAAATAACGATCATAAAGACAAACCGTAAAACTACTAGTTTAGTTCGCTATGCTGTGCTTCAACTTTGACTTAAAGATATCGCTTTTATAGTTTCGCATAATTTTATAAACTTGGAAAGTTTAAACTTGATATAAGTGAAGATTTCCTTGAACGTAATTTATTTATTGTTTTTAATGGCGGTTAGCTCCGGGCTTGATAGCTTTGACTTTTATATCGATTTTGCCCTCAATGTTTACATAAAAGTCACGTAGTGGACTTCCATTTCAAAACTTATGTTTATTAGGGCAGATATTTTTATTTTTTACGAGCTGACCTAACGAACTCCATGCAGCTTCAATTTTTTTCTCACGTTAAGCCTTCCCTGAGTTGCGGAGAACCTAACGGGTAACCGGGGCTCCGGTTCGACGTGCAAGAAGGAACGGGGTGGTTTTTAGTCAGTAAGAGTCTGACACTCCCTCCCGCTTCACCCAGGCGGGAGCAGTCATTCGATGATTTTCCCCCCTTAAAAAAACTCTTCCCTGAAGTTCCACAAAAATTAGCCAAATCGGTTAAGCCGTTCTCGAGTTCTAGCGAGATTAACGAACCGAAATTCATTTTTATTTATATAGATGTAATAAGAAGCAAACGAGTAGACAGGCGAGAGTTGATCAAACAAAAATGTTGTTGTCGTTCATTTACATACCCACTAAAAAACTTAATACACTTACTTTTCATGCCCTATTGCTCCATTACCTACTAAATAAACAATCAAGCTAATATATTCTACTACAAATCAAGCTACTTACTTAAAAATACAATTATAAATCGACAACCTTGTATTCTATAGCAAATTCTATCCACCAACCATATGTGTCAAGAGTTTAAAGAAACTAATCTTGTATCGGTATACTGCAGTTTCGTGCCCTAAGATACATACATGCACAGATATTCCCAGCCACATATATACCGAGCTAATATTTGCGCTGCCGTGAACGTGTTTTTGTAATACCTGTCTCTGTTCTGCCTATATTCGTGAAATCGAGCAGTATTCTGACACGATTTGCATTGCGATATGTTCATAGCAAAAGGGACCATAAAACTGAGAGTATTGGATTTGTATTTGAATTGCTTGTATCTGTGTAAGATGTATAAACATACGTGGTTTTTTCATCAGAATTTAAAGGTTTTCTTATGTTATAGATCGATCAACCGATGCCAAACAAAGTTGTTTAGATTAAAATTTGATATAACGTGTCAAAATTAATTCATGCAGCTGTTATACAGCCTCTGTATGAGCCTAAGAATCAACA